GTGTGTGTTGGATTTTCACCACAATCACCCCTATTCCACCCGGATGATTTTATTTTTATTTTTTTTTGGTGTGTGTGTGTGTGTGTGTGTGTGTGTGTGTGTGTGTATTCTCCGGAGCAAAGGCAAGCTAAATTTGGAGAAATAGGGCCTCCCTCCATGTATCAGGAGTATAACTTGGACCAGATACGTTCGGCATGATCCAACATTTTGAATGTATCTGGACCATTACCAGCTGGGAATACATTTAGAAGGTTGTGTACTGGAGCGATGCCTTTACTGGGGCTGCAAAGGGTGTGTGTATGTTTTTGTGTGTCCGTGTGGAGAGGCGGAAAGAATAAAGGAAAGAAGAGACGGGAAAAGAGTCCGGGGGCTCAGAAGCAGGACTAGCCCAACAACCCATACCAAGACAGTTCTACCAAGGAAGCTGCCCTTTTTTTAAGGAGAGTAGGGGGAGGGGGAGGAGGGGGCAAAGGGGGGAGGGGGAGGAGGGGGGAAAGGGGGGTGGGAGTTCAAGCGCAGGTCTGCTTTGGAAAGTAGGATCAGTCCTTGGGGACATCCGCTAAAAATTGGAACAAGACAGAAAGAAGATCAATTAACCCAGCCCATGAGGGTGAATGGTACACCCATAAAAACGGTTGATAAACAGACATTAGTTGGAATCCTGATGGGACTAGATGAATGGAATGACTCTGAATTACCTGGGACCAGGTACCTGTCAGCTCCATGATGATACCTCAAGGCCGTCGCCCTTTTTTTTAAAAAAAAAAAAAAAAAAAAAAATCGGGTGCTGAGGGGGCATCCTTTTTTCTTTTTTCTTTTTTTTTTTTAAAAAAAAAAGGGCCATCGTAATCTGTTCCTTACGAATCGTTCGAATTGTAGAGAGCGTCTTTTAAGGATGGCCCCTACACCAGCTCTTTTTTTTCCTTTTTTTTTTTTTTTCCCTTTCTCCCCCCCCCTACCTACAGCACCTTTTCATTCCTTCCCTTGAATTTCTTTTCCTTTTTTTTGGTTAATTTCTCCCTTTTGCGTTCTTTTTCTGTGCCCTTTCTCTTCTTCTTTTTTTTTCGTTTTTCTTCGCGCTCTATATCATGTTTTTTTTTTTGTTTTTTTTTCTTGGATGTGTCTTGGCATGCGTTTCATGACAGATGTTTATTTTTAATTTTTAACTAGCTAATACTTAGCACAATGCATACAACTTTATCATATTGAAAAGTTGCCCCCGTGATGAATGTCGTCAGTTTAGCATCTGATCCGTGGTCAAAAAATAAAAATAAAAATCATATGTTCAATAGATGTATGTGGGCCTTCCTCCACAACAGGAAGACGTCAAATAGCCAAAGAGGGAGGGCGGCCATAAAGGACACTTCAAAAGGGAATATGGGCCTTCCTCCACAACATTCTCTTTTTTGTCTTTTTTCTTTTCTTTTTCTTTTTTTTCTTTTTTTTTAAAAAGGAATTCCATCCCCGACAACAGATAGCCTAAGGAGTGATGATGAGTGCATATACTCCTACTTATCTTGCAGGGGGCTCCAGTCTATTGGTCAGGGGAGCTACGACACCTGCTGATCTCTTCCTATATTGCCGAGGACACGAATTCTGGGCACCACATCTCAACATTCTCCATGCCTGGACTTCATTCTGGGATCAATCCATTGGGAGTTGTCAAACATTTTGAATGTATTGGGACCGATACCAGCTCCAGATACATTTCATCTGTTGTGAAGTGGAGCCAGGCCCTAATGTTTCGTCGTTCAGAACATTGTCTCAGCCTCACTCAGCACAGACAACAGACTGCTTCTCTCAACTCCCAGGGCTTTCTCACACTACTAGGACTTTTTCAACTCAGCTCTGGACGTGATTGCAGCCAGATGCGTCCAGCTCCGGCCGTAATTACGGTTCCATACACTGAGAAAAGTACTGGTATGACTATGCCCTCAAAGACTTCTCCTTTTTTCTCTTCTTTTCCCCAAAACTCATAGTTTGGAATGCATACTCTCACTAGGACTTTTCGAGTGGCTCTTGGACGTGATTACACTCAGATGCATGGACCTCTAGGCGTAATTGCAGTCACATACATTTAGAAAAGTGCTAGCTATTTCATACTAGTGAGCAGCCTGCTACCCAAGGGAAGCCCTCTCACAAACATGTGTATACTGTAACTGCGTTCTGCATCAGCAAAATGCTTTCTTTTGTTTTTCTCACATGGTTTTGCCATTTTGCTCTCCATTTCCTTCCTTTTTTTTTTTTTTTTCCTTTTTTTTTTGCTACATGCTTTCCATCAAATTGGCTTGACATCCACAAAAAAAAAAAAAAAAAGGAACTCTGAAGAGAAAACAAAAACTGGACCCTTCCTTGTCCTGTCCTTTCTTCCTTTCAACCCTTCAGCAGGAGCCGAACCAGGCTCATCTGTGAAAACAGGGTTGGGGGGGGAGGGGGGGGGAAGAGAGAAAGAAGAAGAAGAAGGAAGAGGAGGAGGAGGAGGAGGAGGAGGAGGAGAAAGGACCGCAGGGAACAGGGTAACCTACTCCCGGTTGTCGTTCTTCTTCTTTTTTTCTTCTTTTTTTTTTTTAAAGGGCGACGGCCTACTGACCGCAGTGACCGGCGGCAGGTAATTCAGAACTATTTTATTGAAATTTATTCTGGTCATTGTTTATCTGGATTCGAATTTGGGTCTGTATTTCAACAGTTCATGGGTGTACCAACTGAGCTAGGCCCAATAAGGACTGCCGTTCTCATTTTTGGACGAATGGTCCCATCAATTTTTTATTTTTTTTTTGTTTTTCCATTTTCTCCTTTCTCTATCTTCTTGTGGGGAGGGTCCACAGAACTTCCAGAAACGTGCATTCTCTCTCTCTCTCTCTCTCTCTCTCTCTCTCTCTCTCTCTCTCTCTCTCACACACACACACACACACACACACACACACACACACCTTTTTCCCCTCTTTGATTTTCCTTTCCATCATTTTTATTTTCCTCTCTGCGTTTTATTGTTAAAAAAGAGAAATTGGACGACTTCTCGATATGTGCTTGTCATCCTTGATTGCGCAGGGGATAATACGCTAATTGAGAGCATACTCACACTAGGACTTTCATGAATGTAGCTGACTGCAATTACAGCCGGGCCAGGATGCGTCTGACCGTAATTACGTCCAGAACTCAGTCGAAAAAGTCCTAGTGAGAGTATACCCTGAGTTTCTCTGTATCATTAAAATTCCAGCGAATGTTCCCAAGGACTTCTCTGCGCTTCACTATCTCTCCTCTTTCCCTTTTTTTTTCTGTCAACGCATGGGACCGACGGGAAATGTTCCACTTGCCGGCAAAAAAAAAAAAAAAAAAAAAAAAAAAAAGGCTTCCACTTGCACGGATTAAGAGGATATTATTAGAAGATAAGGCACATCCACGTCCGAATCTCTCTCTCTCTTCTCCTTCTTTTCTTTTTTTCTTTTTGGGTGGAATCTCTTTATCCGCGCAAGCGGATTTTTCCCCCAATTATTTAAAAAAAGAAAGAAAATTCGCGCACGTGCGACCTCGTCCCCGCAATCCAAATTAACCCAGCTCCCAATCGAAGAGGTTGACAACATTAAAATAAAATTAAAAAAAAAAAAGTGAAAACACACACACACACATTGGTAGCATAATTACCTGACTGTGACGAGCCAGCCACCGCGCGAACCCGCAGCGCTCTCCGCTTCTTCCCGGCCATGCGCCCCGTGGCACCCGGTCCCCACAATGGAACGGCCAATCCACGGGACCAGCTGCCCGCCGAGAGAGCCGATGGGAGAATTGGCAGGAAGGAGGAGCGTCGAAGCTGCTGCTTTCCTCCGGCGACCAGGAAGAAGCCATTGCCATTGTCATTGCCATAGCCATAGCCATCGCCAGAGCGAGGCGTCAGCCTCGATGACGTGTCCTGCGCAACCAAGTCCAAGTCACGGATCGAGCCGGCGCAAGAAGAAGCCGGGGCGTACTCGCGCGTTACGCCATGGACAGCAGCGGCGGGCGTTCCCCGCGCACAGAGCATGGAAGCGGAAGCGGAAGCAGAGGCAGAAGCAGCAGGCGCAGCCATGGCCACAGGCGCGGGCAAATGCAGGCGCCTGCCGCGGCAAGCCCTCGGCCTACCTGCAATCAGCTATCGTGGAAGAGGACGTGATGAAGGAGTAGCACACTGCGCCACACACCTGCGAACAACTGTGTGTGTGTGTGTGTGTGTGTGTGTGGGTGTGTGGGTGTGTGGGTGTGTGGGTGTGTGGGCGTGTGAGAGAGAGAGAGAGAAGAGGGGGGGGAAAGAAATTTGGGTAGCGGATCGCGATGCTTGGCCCGCGCAAACTCCCGCCAGAGCGCGCGCAATGCTGTGCCCGCTCCCGCTCTCTCTTTTTCCGCCCCCGCTCTCTTTCTTCCGCTCTGTCTCTTCGGTGATTCTAGGCTATTACGGGAGTGACTGTCGCCATTTTCGATGACGAGCCGGATCAGCGAGCCCCAGCCAGCCGAGGGACTCTGTCCCTTCCTTCTCTCTCTCTACCTCCCTCTCCCTCTGCCTGAATGCCGGCCGGATTCAAGCCGAAAAACGATTGCATACGGTGGGAGATGACGATGGCGGGGAGGAGGCGGGAGGAGGCGGGAGAGCAGGAGGAACAGGTGGAGGATGAGCAGAGGGGACGGCAGGGGGGCGATTGTTCTGCTTGATCGACGAAATCCGCAATCCGGGAAAATCCGGGGACAACGAGCGTCCCGCGCCGATACCGCCCAATCGAAATTTTCAAAATAGGTGGACGCGATTTTCAAAGAACCAGACCGGCCCACAAAAAAGAAAAAGCGTCGCCTCGAAGCGAAAACCAAACACAAAAGAGTTGGAAATTGGAAAAGACAGCAAAACAACGAAGTGTCCGGCGGGCGCCAAGTTACCGTAGGCCAAACAAACCAAACCCCGCCCACCTCCTCAACTCTCCTCGGGCGGACAAGCCCGCACAAAAACATGTGGGCTGCGTTGCGTCTTTGCACACAACGAAAGCCACGTCCACTTCCAAGGTGGATCTTCACGGATATGGTTTACGTTTTTGCTTCGAATCCCGCCTATACGGCCTCGCTCCGCTACTGACCACATACACAAAAGACAAAATTTATGGCTGTGTATATTTCCAGGTTCTAGCTGAAGATTCGTTCTCATTTTGCGCAGTTGGTTGAGTAGCGGAGCAAGGGCTACTGTAGCCTCCCGCCAACGACGCCAAGCCAAAACCCAAGCCAAAACCCAAACCCAAACCCAAACCCAAACACTCCCAAGCACACACAAGCTGGGAGGTGGGTCCCACATGAGCGCCCTTTTCCATTTCTGGTCGTAGATCTTGAGAATCAACGGCCCCAAATGAAAAACGGAAGGCCACTGGGACTCGGCCCTGGGGGCCGATCTCCCTCCCACTAGATAGCAGGAGAATGTAGAGTACCTCCTTCCTCCAAATAGAATGCACGCTCCTTGCCACCTGTGCCCCGAATGCAGTTAAAATGACCCTGCATTCCGTCGGAGGGAAGACGGGAGTTTGGAGCCATCGATCTGAAAATCTCATGGTGGTTTATGCAAACACTCGTAGATTGGCTGATTGTTGATCTCCAGCACAGTGATACAACCTTAAACCACCAGTACCTTTCCCATATGTCAACCGTGGGCAGTGTCAGAAGCCCAAAACGACAAAGGGCCGCCAATTCGATTTATCAACAGCGGCCCAACCGGCGGCCCTCCCTGGCTTGGCTACCGCATTACCCGGCGTGTCTTAGATTTCAAGTGGGGAAAAGCACTGGTGGTTTCGTAAACTCTATATCTATATCATGCAAAGAAGACAACATTTGAACAAGGCGACAACATGGACAAAACAGATTAGCAAGAAGAAAACCAACGCGAAGAAGACAACATTTGAGCAAGACGGCGACATGGACCAAAGAAGAATTTCAAAACACAACGCATTCATGCAAACAAGAATAGAAGACACGACACATCAGTTTACTCCTGAACGCGACAAGGTTTTTCCAAATGTGATCAAGTCGTACAAAGCTCATGAAGCCCAAGCCGATAATGGGTGTAGTGCCCACCATCGTCAAAGCCCAATGTCAAACACTCTGGTTGCTGACCCTACTAGTTTCATCCAGTCACCAGAACCGAAATCATCCGGGGTTTAGTCATGGCAGAGATGAACTGACATGCCGCACTATTCTATATATAGTAGGATATATTAGAAAAAAGAGAGAACTCAGAAACCGGTCCCACTGTAACTCCGCTGTCGAGTGCATTGGTCCCGCAGGGGGACCCTCCTGACCGCGTCACGCAGGATTTTGCAGCACTTGTCGCGTAGAGCGTTTTTGCCGCTCTGGCCGAGTGCGTCAGCCGTACCGCCCGCGAGCCCCTACGACAGGATGGGCCACGCGAGGCACAACTTACCTCCACCCACGAGAGTTGTCACCATCCCTTGGGTGGGCGTATCTCCGCCGAGCTACCGGACCACATGCGAAGGTTTTCGTATGCAATCGCAGAGGTGGCCCAACCAAGGGCATTTCTCATTCGTTGTAGCATAGGGGATACACGTGGTTAGCGCCCAAATCGGACCCGCGTGCAAGTCGACGTCCGAGGCGCTAATCTCTCGAACGTGATTCTATGTCGATCGAGTAGGACGACCATACTTTCCAACAGAAACTTCTTCCTATTTGCAATATTTCACCTAGCCCCTTTTCCCACCTGACCCGTAACTGTTTTCATACCTTAACGCACGGACGTCGCACGCAAGACTTCGCATAAATAAACGTCGCTTCGCAGGGTCGGATCATAATGGTTAGCCATGTGCAAATACGTGAGTAGTCGCAATGATGGAGTAATGCATGGTGCCCATAAAGGTGCGGTTCCATTTGAGTCATGGGATCGCATTTAACATTAGGGTGTCGGCTGATGCGCGCTCTAAAGGGTTCGACCCTTTAGCGAGCGCAAAAGCGGACTAAACGCGCGACCATCTTCTGCACCCTGCAATGCCCCAAAGGGGGTAGAGTAAGATGGCTTCGAGGGCAGAAGGGAATTTTAAGTAGTGGTGAGTTGTTTGGTGCACCACCAGCAACACGCTAACCCTTCTACTGGGAACCTTACCGCTCCACCAAAAATAAATGTAAACAAGGAAAATTTGTATGCAAGCAATTGGGAAAAACGTTCATAGGTCTGGGCTTATATAAAACACGTGTATGCGTTGGCAACGACGGTCGTATGTAGGAAAAAGGTCAAGCTTCATGTCGCCCCCTTAGCACGCGTTTGACCCATAACTTATTCCATGTGAGACTTCAGGTGTAGTTCGCGCACGAGAATGCTTAAGAGGGACGCTCGCACGAGAGAAAGCATAATACTCAATTATGCGAACTCTCGAGACTAACTGTCATGGCGACACCTCACGTGTTACCCACAATCGCTCGACCCTTCGCGGGTTTCAACGTTGCGTACGCAATTCTAGTGTCAAAGATGAGGTATCGTGAAGGGAATTTCCTTCACGATATTGAACGACTGAAAAATGAGTCGTACAACCCTCGCGACACATCTGACTTTTAGATAAAACGTCACGATGGGCAACGCGCAAATGTTCAGCACACAGGAGGAACTCATTTGCGTTGAGTTGCAACTTGAAATGTCCTAGACAAGGACCTCGAATTCCAGGTTCAGGATCATCGTTCGACCAACTAATTCAAATAGAAAGGATGATCATTCGCATTATCGCGGTTGTTGCGAAGTCTGTGTGCACGGAATCTCATTAAATGATCATAATTAAACCAAAAGTGGTTCAATTAGTCAAACAAACAGGTTGTGTGGTATCAGACGATCACTCTCACAACAATAATGTAGCTTGTTCATCTGTATTCACTTAATACACAGACAATCACCAAGGATCAATCCAAAATTTTCCAATCATACATGCGATCACACATAGTTTAAACAACAACATCGCACACACTAAACGAGTCAACTTTATTGTTTTTCTGCGACTCATTCTCTACCTTATGCACATAAACCCAACCATTTTTCATCATTCCACAACAAAGGTACTTAGTTTTTAAAAGTGGTTATTCAGAAAGAAGTTTGAGTAAAAATCCCAAGAAAAATAAAAACCCATTAAGGGCTAAGGCGTTAGTTAGGTTGAGATGCAGAAGCAGGTAAGTTGTGTCATAAAACATTTATGTTATCAAAGGATAACAGAGGAGTGGTCCTCTGTAGGATTAGGCCGAACGAATCAAGTCTTTAATCAAATATGTAAACCTGCATCGCAGTACAAGCAAAAAAAAAAAACAATACTACATTTAAAACAAATGGAGGACTTGCTCCATCCCATAGCCTAACTCCTTTACTAACCTCTTTCTTACCTTCCTCTAATTGGTACTAGAAGTTATCGAGAACTTTGGTAGCATTTCCTCCTAAACAGGGTGCATTGTCAAACTTATCCTAGCAGAAAAATAATTTAACTCTTTAAATTTCATAAAATTTCAACAGCGCTTCCCGTAGAAAAAGGTATCTTTTCATAATTTTTATGAACTCAAAATGACTAACTTTTTCAAATTTGTAAAAATTTCGGCTGCGTTTCCCGTAGGAAAAGGAGACTGCCAAAATGTATACAAAGCTGAAAATACAAAAAACAAAGTACAACTATACTTGGGACTTACCTTTTGACACTTACTTTTGACACTTACTTTTGACACTTACTTAATGATTAGAATTAGCGATAGTCTACACGATCCTTCTTTAAAGATGGCCTCGTGAGCTAGTACGAGTCCTAATTCCTAGTAATGCCAATCCTATCTTATCCCAAACTTTCCTTCCCACCATCCGCTCTAGCCTATCATTGACTCCAACACTCGGCGAGCATCTAAGCAACTAAAACTATCAAGAGATGCCCAGACAAGTGCCTCAATCATGCATAGTTAAAATCTTTCTTAATCCCATATTTGCTGTAGTCAAGAAGTTCGTTAATCTCTCAATTTTTTTAACCCTTTGTAAATTTTTTTTCCCTATGGCATAAGATCAGACCGCCCCATTTTAGGGGTATGCCACCTGCTTAAGCAAGTGAATAGAGTACGCACAACAAGACTGTTCAAACTTGAGGGTATGCGCAACTTACATGACTAAAAATGTATGTCTAGATCGCCCCAACTTAGGGGTACGCATGAATTGACATAAACAATGGAAATAAAGCATATGACCAGACAACCCTAACTTAGGGGTACGCTTGATTTTTGCCTGACTAACGACATGAAGCATAGACTAGACTGCCCCAACTTAGGGGTATGCCTAGTCGGCTTTAAACGAAGATTA